CCGGCAGCAGGGGGCCGGAAGGGGTGTGCGGCGGAAGTGCTTTACAGACTACGCAGGCTGTGGGCCTTCATGTGAGACAAAGGGTTGGTCCGGGGATGCAAAGTTGAGTGGACACAAACTGTCTCTAGGAAACAGTGCTGACAATGTGGGACACTTCGGCCCAGTTCCAAACACTTGGAAACAGTGCTGACAATGTGGGACAGTGGGCCCAGTTCCCAGCACATGTTGCTCCCCACGGATAAGATCAGAGCCCATCACACACTGCTACCCCTACAACAGGTGTGGGCTCTTGTCCCCATCTGCAGCAGGGGCACCCTGGTCGATGTTTTGGTAGGGGTCGGGTGCGCGGAAAGTCACTCTACTCATCTGAGGTGAGCGGCCGATAGCTCAGTGGGTAGAGCACCTGTCGGAAATGCGCATTGTGGTCTGAGGTTGCGGGTGGAAGGCACAAAATCAAGTCTCTTCAAAACTCTGCAGCCCTGTGCATGGACACCAGCGGGCGTTAACCCACGCACAGCCCCAGTTGGCCCACTTTGGGTTTAGGGTTAGGGTAAAGTTTACAGACACTGCCTGTACCACCTGAGGGGTTCAGTTCATGGTGGTTGTGTGCTGGGGTTTAGGCTAGGAGAGGTTTGCCGGATGTTCTTGATCCATGGGTTGTTCAGATGATCATTAGTGCCTATAGGTTGGCACTCCACACACTTGTCCCCAGGTCTAGTACAGCGCATAAACAGACTACTACCGTCGTCACCCGAATAGAACGCCCGGTCATTATAGCTGTACTTGGCACAACTTTCAGCCCAGATACGGCGATAATTACCGGGCGTTCTATTCGGGTGAAGACGGTAGTTGTCATTGTAGTTAAGTGGGTTTGAGCTAGGGGCTGTAGAAGAGGTTGAGGGTTCGAATCTGATCGGGCCAGGCGAATCATACTGGCACAGAGGTAGTTGGGATGCATGCATGCAGGGTTATTGTGGAGAGACAGATCACATGAGTTGGTTACCTTAGGGCTCCGCTTTGCGGGAGCCATCGGCTGCAGGGGGGATGAGGGGGTCCTGTTGGGTAGAGGGTAGGTAGGACAAGCTCTGCTGGAGGATATGGGTGGGGAAACTACAGTAGGGGGTGTCTTAGGGGTCTCGTCAGGAGGAGCATAGGTAAGACGGGCTCTGGTGGAGGATATCATTGGGGAACCTGTATTAGGGGCTGCTGTCTCAAGGAGTGGGACTGTCTGCTTCCCAGATCTATAAATAGATCAGAGTAGCAGGCCGGCCTAGTTCATGATGGAAGTAAGGAACGGATGGTGGCCTAATACGTACTGATGACGGAGACTACCGTCTTCCCCCGAGCATAACGCATATGCGCTGTATTCAAGTTCTCACAAAATTTGAAAATTTTGAATAGAACGCAGATAGGTTGATTCCAAAATTAGGGCTATTCGAATAGAAAGCATATGTATTGTATTAAAAAAAAGTAGGGCTGTTCGAATAGAACGCCTATGAGTTGTATTCGAACAGAACGCAACCTATGGGTTGTTGTTGTTTACAACACATATTTGGGGGAAGACAGTATGGCTGCTCAGACAATATAACAATAGGAAGGGTCTAGCTCATGATCGAGGTGAGGACAAGGGATGGTGGACGTAGACCCGCTAATGACAGAAGCTAGGGTCCCTCCAGATAGCATCCAATCAAAAGCAAGGATTACCCCGGCCTCAGTATTCTTATTGGTAATATCAGCCTTGGGCATCGGGCCTGTTTCTGAAAAAAAAAAAAAAAAAAGAACAACAATAGTACAACCACAACTATGTGACCAGAGAGGGTTCTGGGGGCTGATGTCTAAACGTAGAGGGGTGGATGGGGGCCCTGCGTCTACTGATAATAGGCTAGACCCTCAATTGTAATAACAGGGGTGCATACATGACAAACAATACAACAACTTGGGGGCACAGGAATGAGGTCCACCTTTGAGACTTGTAGAAGAATGTCTAGGCCTACCGCTCAAAGTACCCCTACTACAGGCCTTGTCTACGCCTAGCGCTCGAAGTTCCCCTACGACAGGCCTTCCGACTATGCTTCAATTAGGGCTTAAGGGGGGTAAGTCCTGCTTAGCCAAACAATACAACAACGAGAGGGGACAGGAATGGGTCCACCTATGGGAGTCATAGAAGAATGTCTGTGCCCAGCGGTCGCAGTCCCCGTACCACAGGGCTTGTCCGACTATGCTTCAATCAGGGCTGAGGGGGGGTAGGTCCTGCTTAGCCCTGGGAGGGGACAGGAATGGCCCTGTCCTACTATGCTTCAATCAAGGCTGAGGGGGGTAGGTCCTGCTTAGGCCTGGGAGCGGACAGGAATGGGTCCCACATACAGGAGTCGTAGAAGAATGTCTACGCCTAGGGGTCCAAGTACCCGTACGACAGGGCTTGTCCGACTATGCTTCAATGAGAGCTAAGGGGGGTCTGTCCTGCTTAGCCCTGGTACCTACAACCACCCTCGGGTCAGGTCAACGCCGTTGAGATGATAGGAGCGGACAGGAATCGGTCCCACCTACGGGAGTCGTAGAAGAATGTCTACGCCTAGGGGTCCAAGTACCCATACAACAGGGCTTGTCCAACTATGCTTCAATGAGAGCTAAGGGGGGTCGGTCCTGCTTAGCCCTGGTACTTACAACCGCCCTCCGGTCAGGTCACCGCCGTTGAGATGATAGGAGGGTGACGATCCTGAGGGTAAACAGGAATGGGTCCCACCTATGGGAGTCGTCTAAGAATGTCTACGCCTAGGGGTCCAAGTACCCATACGACAGGGCTTGTCCAACTATGCTTCAATGAGAGCTAAGGGGGGTCGGTCCTGCTTAGCCCTAGTACCTACAACCGCCCTCCGGTCAGGTCACCAGTGTTGAGATGATAGGAGGGTGACGATCCTGAGGGGTAAACACGGGGGTAGGATCGTGCGAGTAGGGGTGCGCCAGGGAGAAATCATGAGAGTGGAAGGTTGGGAGAAAGTCTCCTAAGGAGTAGGGATCTCTACAGACCAAATTGGGATAACCAAATGGCCGACTACCGAGGGGACTGTCATACGTCTAGCATCCAATCTCTACAACAACCTGGGCTTGAAAACCGAAAAAAAAAACGCTATTCATCTGATTGCATCAGGATTGGAACTTGGGTCTGTATCTCAACAGTTCAGTTCATGGGTGTATCAACTGAGCTTGCCCGTTGGTCCTTTTTTTTAGTTTTTTTTTCAACAATGCAAGTTCCCAAAATTAGCAGTTTTAATGTTGGGGTAAATTCAGAAGAGTCACAAAAACGAGTTATAATTGCACTACTATGGGGCAAGATACAGTTTGCAATTGCACTTGGGGCACCTTACCTGGACAGAAAGCTGGATTGTATACATTGCCAGAACTGCAATTCGAAAATGTATGTTGTCCGAGAGTGCAATTATAACTCATTTTTGTGACTCCCGCGTAGTTTTCCCCATCAAGGAGGAGGGGATCTTTTCTTTGAGACATCACGCACGTCAAGGACATTCTTCACCCTCTTTTCCCCCAGCACCCCCCCAGCACCCCCCCAGCATCCCCCCTTCCGGCGCAATTTTGTTTTTACTAACCGTTTTTTTTTTTGTTTTTTTTTTTTCAACCTTTT